GGTGAATTCGAATTAGGGTTATAAGGTGTAACAAAATGTAACTCAATTTTGTAAGTCTTACAAGGATCTTGGATTAAATTACTTTTAAATGCTGGACCATTATCCGTAATAATTTTACTAGGTGTTCCATGGTGTGAGAAGAATTTAATTAGGTTTTGACAAATCTCAATTGCATTTTCGTTAATAGGATACGCAGTTGCAAATTTTGAGAAATTATCTATTATTGTTGAATATTTTTGACCAGATACTGAGTATGTATCTATATAGATGTGCTCAAAAGGTTTTGAACCTGTTGGGGTAGGCTTATATATAACCTTGTAAGGATGTCGTACATATTTCGTTTTCTGACAAGTTTCACAAGTATTAATGAAATTAATTACACGTTTAAGGCTTGGCTAATAATATGACTGTTTAATATTTTTGATGTTTTCTGTTATACCTCGATGTGATGTTTTTGTTGTATGATATCTTTCAATTATCTCCTTTTGTTCTTCTTGATCAGTTACATCTTCAAGAAGGGTATAAGAAATCACAAGTTTAAATGTGTTATTCTTGAAAGTTTCTTGGAATATCCTTAAAACAAGAAGTTCTAATTCTTTACAAGGAAAATGTAGACAGTAAGTGTCTGGTGCTAGATAATCTCTGAATAATTCTTGGATTTCTCTTGTAATTGGATGTTCATTAATGAAAATTATTGTTATTTTCTTTGTTTCGAACAATTTCTTCGTTGTCAGATACGGCTTATCTTTGGTAATCCATTTGAAGATTATTTGATTTTTGTGAGTATTTACACTTTTTTCCACATATGGTGCTCCTAAAATAGGATTTTTGGTAGCTGAATGGACTGTGTCGATTTCAGATCCAGTTTTATCTGATAATTTTTCATTTCGATTAGGCGATCCTTTATGTTTATTGGATGGTCCTGGTTTAGGTGATTTATTTTCTTTAGGTGGTTCAAGTGATTCGTTTTTATTTACAATAATTACCTTTTTACCATCAGGTATGATTTGAATGTCTGATATTATTTTAATTTTTAAGCTTTTCTTGGCTTTTTCTATTTGCTTTGGAACAATTTTCTTTGGTGGGTCGAACAAGTCTTCTTGTGTATCAAAGAAATGCTTGACTTTTTCTCTCCATGAATATTGGTCCTCGTCTTCTTTCTGAATTTTATTCTGAGTTTCACATACAGCTGACATATGTGATGATGGTGGTTTAATTATACTAATAGGAAGTGTATCTAAGGGTGGACGCAAAAGAGCATCAGCGTTAAAAATTTTTGTTCCTTTTTTGTATTGAATAGTATAATCGTATTCTTGGATTTTTAGTCTCCAGCGGACTAACTTTGAGCCTGGGTCTTTTAGTGAAAAGAGCCATTGAAGAGGTTTATGATCAGTCACGATAGTAAATTTTTGACCAAATAAGTAGGGTCGAAAGTACTTTGTCGCCCATACAATTGCGAGAAGTTCTTTTTCTATATTAGAATAATTACATTCTGCTTGATTAAGGGTTCTACTTGCATAAGCTATAGGTAGATCAGTTCCAATAGGACCTCGAGAAAGAACTGCGCCTATTGCGTAGTTTAAAGCATCTGTTGTAAGGACAAATGGTTTTGAAAAGTCAGGATGTTTTATTATTGGGTCATTTAATTCAAATATTCTTACAAAGATTAAATGCACAAATTGTTTGTCATGAATTATCAACATTTTTCTTTAAACATTGAGTTAAAGGTTTGGTAATTTTAGCAAAGTTTTTAATGAATTACCTAGTCCTAGAAAAGATTTTATTTCTTTTGGTGTTTTTGGAATTTTAAATTTCTTTATTGCTTCTACTTTCTTTTCATTTGGTTTTATACCATCTGAGGTTATTGTATGTCGAAGGAATTCAACAGTTTTGTGGAGAAATTCAAACTTATCTAGTTGAATTTTTAAATTGAATTGAATAAGTCGTTCAATTACTTGTCGTAAAGAATCAAGGTGTTGTTGAACTGATGTTGAGTATATAATTATGTCGTCCATATAAACTAGACATATTTTACCAAGTAATTCTTTTTAATACGTTTTCGATAGCCCTCTGAAATGTGAAGGGGGCATTTTTCAAACCGAAGGGCATTCGTAAGAACTCGTAATGTCCATTCTCTACATTAAACGCTGTCTTTGGTATGCTTTTAGGATCCATTTCAATCTGGTGGAATCCGCTTGCTAAATCTAATGTTGTAAAATATTGCGATCTTCCAAGCTTATTTAATATATCCGCTATTTAGGTAATGGATACCTGTCATCTATGGTTTTCTCGTTTATTTTGCGATAATCTATAATGAGTCTCTTTTCTGATGCGTCTGTTTTTTTGGGAACAATCTAAACAGATGAGCTCCAGGGTGAACTCGAAGGTTGTATGATTTTATTTTGTAACATTTTTCCTATTATTTGGTTTTTTACTTCCTCTTTATGAATATGAGGGTCTCTGTAGCTTTTGGTATGTATTGGAATTTCGTCTGTTGTATTAGTAACATGCTTAACTTGATTTGAAAATGTTAAGGTATCTCCAGGTCTATGCAAAATTTTATCAAATTTTCGGATAAGTTTGAAGAGTTGAAGGCGTTCTTCAGCATTTAAGTGTTCATGACTAATTAGAGATTTTAAATCGACTTTTTCAGGGTCTTTCTTTTGTAAAGGTTTTGAATGTGACGTAGTTGTTTGTTTTTCGAAAGTTAATATCTTAAAATTATTGAGTTCAATTGGTTCGAATAGTAATTTTTCTTCAATATCACAATGTAAGACAAATGATCTGTCTGAGTGATTAAGAATATCTACAGTGTGAGTATTGTCACTAATGTTGGTTGTATTTCAATAAATTCGTCATGCATATAAGGTAATAGCCAAGTTGTATTATTTGGTAACTGAGTTTTAAAAGTAACCGTTTGTATAGTTTTAGGAGGTATTTCAACTATGTATGGATTGAAATTTTTCCTATATTGGGAAGGAATTTGTAAATATTCATTTACCAATATTTTATTTTTTAAATCAATATTTAAATTTAATGTAGCAGTGTCAAGATTTTAAGGATTCTGGACAATTAATAGTGTACTCAATTCACTAGAAATATTTGCCAGTAAATTTTGAGTTGCAGTTAACTCATTTTGATTTATTAATATTGTTCGCGCTTCTATATTTGCAATGTCCGTACAAATTTTAGTGTTTATTTTTGTAACCAAGGCTTTGTGTCTTTGGATATAGTCTTGCGTTGACTCATTTTTCTTTGTTGAAAATATGAACTGTTGTAAGTTTGCTCGAGTGAGAGGATCACTGAACTTTGGTGTTAGGGCTATTTTAATTTCATCCCAAGTTGTTAAATCAGATCTGGTTAAGAGGAAATCTTCAGCAGATTCTGTTATTTTGGATTTAATAGCAAGATTGACATATTCCTGTTGTGAGACGTCATTATTAAAATATATATTATGGAAGATATCAATTTGCTTGACAAATGCCTCTAAATGTGATGGAGTACCATCAAAAGCTTTTAGAAGAGTAACAGTTGATCCCAAAGCGGCAGCCATTTCGTTATTTATTAATCTAGAATTATTATTAATAGGTAAATTATTGAAGTTAAAATTATTAAAATCGTTAGTATCATGTGTTTCTAAACTAATGTTAGAATATAAACTAGCAATATCAAAATTAGGAAAATCGTCGGTTAAAAGGCGATCTTCTGCACTTGTTGAAGGTTGTCTACCAGGAGCCAATAGCACTTCACTACTGTTCACTTTTGTTGTTGTTTGTTCTTTTCTTAACTGTTAAGAGAGATAGGTACGCACTCACGTAATCCAATTCAAACTTTTCGAAAACCCGAAAAATACTCGAAAAGGAATCCTGTTGTACTCGTACCGACTGCGCCAGTTATGTTTTAAATTAAGCAACTTGTGTTTTTAAAAAAACTTTATTACTTAATTAATAACGTGTAAAGCGAACTAAAGAACTAACTTATTATTGCGCTGCTCGAATTTATATAAAAGAATAAATGCTGAGCTACTAATTATTGTTATTACAATTATCATGAATCATTGGAGATGGCCATATAATTCTAGCTTTTTGCAATGACGAAAACTGGTTTGTAGCTAACGAAGTATCCAATAAATAGGAACTAAAAGTAAATCTTACATATTCTAGAAGCAGTTCAACTACATATAAGGTAATGAATGACAGTGGATACTGGATAGGTTAGATAGGTAATTATTATTGTTCTCCTAACGCTTATACCGTAATATTTCCATCTGAAAATGATTCTGATTCAATAACTTTAATGTGAACCATGCATTTTCATTACCCAAGTTCAAAATAACTTTTAGTTAATAATCGATTTGGCAAAGGTTGCATCTAAGATAAATTTTAAGGTTCATGCCCTAAATCTTCCACATTGACTTCGAGAGCACGTAGCTCATTACGGGGATTGATCGGCCATAATTCACATTTGAGACGCATTAAATTTTAAGCATATTGTTGTCTTGCCGCTGGAATATAAATAGGGGATTTAGGGGGCTGAAACCTGTCTGATGAGCCGTTCGCTTTGCAATTGGGTCGTATATCGAAATAAAAGTTATGTAGACAGATTGCTATAATAGGATAGCATCAATTAGATATGCTATTTTTGTAAGAAAGCTTTTCTATCTCGAAGAAAAATTATATTGCTGATAAAATAACCTACTTCCCTTGATTATAACCTATTTGTATTGTCTTATCTTTTTGTGGCTCTATTTTTCGGTCCGAAAAATTATTGTATTGTCAGCTAATACATAAAAAAAAAACCATAATGTTTGCCAGTGACTTAAATAACAATTCAAAACAATAAATATCATACAATAGATTTCCGTAGCTAATAAATATTTTAATAATAATTTTATTTTGAACAAATGACAATATTTGCAAATGTTTAATTAATAATACAGAATGAGAAGTAAACCCCGTTTTGAAAAGCAAATTATCATTTAATCCCCTTGGTGTTTTTAGGCATTCCTAGAAGCAAGCGTTATGCGCTCATTATTATTCAGAAGGACAATGAGAGTGCCCTACTTTTGTTCTGTCAATTAAGAGACTTGGCGTCGCCTGAGAATAAGAAAGTTAATAGACTTTCAGAGTAGTTTACGTAAATATTGAAAGTAATAACTCAAAATAGAAACTATTAGTAAGTATTTATACAGTTGTTATTGTAAAATTGATCAACCATTATGAAAATAGCGACAAGAAGGTTTAAAATACGTTTTAAATATGCATTCGTTCGGACGTCAGAAATATTTAAAATGTCAGTTAGAGTAACTCTGAGTGTAACTCTATTCCAAAATCACAAATTCAAACGTCATAATAGACATCAAAAATGGACGTTTAAAAATCGCCCTAATACGAACGTTTTGAAACGTGTGTAATGACCCGGGAAAAATAGACCCGTAATTTACAATGTCTTAACAGTAAAAGTTAAATATAATCTAATATTCAAAAATTGAATCTCCGATATTTCAAATCAGTATCAATTAATTGAAAATGAAACAAATTAGCATTGACCCAAAATAATTAAAATATTTGAAATACGTTCAAATTTTATTAGTTAGTCATCAAGCGCGTGTCATCAAATTGAAATAATAGATAATGACGAGCCAGGCAGCCATTGCTACGATAGCGCGAGGTTTTTGCACCTGCAGAAAAAAAAATCCATAAAAAAAAAATAATAAAAGCGAGACTAATGGTCATTTGCACCGCTATCACTTAAGGGATATTTAATTTAAGTGGAGCTTTTGAATGTGACTTTTGTTTCTACGAGAGTCACATTCAAAGCTCCACTTGGATTAAATATCCCTTAAGTTATAGCGGTGCAAATGGCCGTAAAGTAATTAAATTGGTGACTAAGTGACAGATTTCATGATTAACGGCCGACACGAGTTTTCGACATCCTTTGAGTTATTCGTCCTCACATTCTCACAACAAATCTGTTAACCCCAATAATCCAGGAAATTGCGACATATTCGGTTTTGAAAAAATACATTTTATTTCTTAGAAAAGAAGAACGGTCAATGATTCGACATGACTAGGAAATATTTTAGGGGAATCGAAAAATATAAAAACAGCGGTTTCGGAATTTTGGAATAAGTTTAAGTTCAATTTAAGTCTTAAGTCTTCACATCAGTTCAGTTCAGTTGAGTTCAGTCTTCAGATCAGTTCAGCTTTAGAGTCTTGAGTCTACAGTAAGAATAATGAGTCAGACCAGGTAAAATTTGCGAAGAGTTTCTTTTATTTTGTTGCCTCGGGAAAATGCGTTAAATTGAATCTTTATTAAAGTAACGGAAAATTGTGAAAGAAAGAGCATTTAAATTCGTTCAACATTATATGCGAGCTCTAAATAATCAAAAGAATAATAATTAGAATAATTAAGTGACTTTAAGGACGATAGTTAAATGTAAAGTACTCTAGTGACAAGTTTTATTTTGACTTTATCAATGTTGCAATGACTATGTAAGTGAATTGACTATGAAACTTTATTGCATAAATATTATTATCTTGACATTATTCTGCTGTTCTTAGGTATATTTAGATCAATGAAACCAAGTGGTTTTGATACGTTTCGAAAAATTTAATATTACGTTAAAAAAAATACATACATTTTTTAGAGAACTTAAGTCGAACGTTCGGAAGTCCGTTAAAATACAGAGAGTTTTTCCCTGCCTGATCCTGTTTTCAATAAAAAGGTCAATAATTGTGTCCGCCAACATGTTGATAATGTGAAAATAACCTTTAAAACTACCAACCAACTGGGTTCCCAGCTGATTAATTAAAGATAAAATACACCAACTCACAAAAAGTGGAATGCATAAATCTTCTTGTGGTTCTTACAATAGACAAGGCTTGCAGAGCTTTGAAAACTCCTATTAATGAACACATGTACAGAACTAACTTAACATTTGGTGAGCACGTCCGCACCTCCAAACATAACTTTGATTCCCAGTCTAACTCAAAGCTTATACGGGAGGTTTCTTTCAAAAATTTCAACAGACTCGACTTTCACGAGAACATTGAGATCAATAAGAATAGTAACCATTAACCATTGTCTTAACACCCAAGTCAACCTTAACAGAAATTACATAGGAGACTACCTACTTGATTAGTTTCATAAATAAATAATAAAAATTACAAATTTCAATCTTGGTCAAGACAACACAAGTCCACTTACTACTTGTAGATTGTAGATTTCGGGGGAGTCGTTTCGGCTTTTCAGCCGCTCAGCACTGCTACCTTTGCAGATATTTTGTGCGTGACTCTGCATCTTAATTTGTCTCCAGGAAGCGTGGACTTCTGCCGAAGGAAGCTATTTTCCTGGGTGTCAGTTGGCCCACTTCTTCTGGTGACAGTGTTGCCCCCTCCAGGAATTTGAGCCTCTTGCAGAATTGGGCTGGACATTCGCAGAGCAGGTGCTCTGCGGTTTCTATTGCGTCTGAGCAGAATCTGCAGAGATCGTCTTCCGCTCTGCCCATTAACCTTAAATGGTATTTTACTGGGCAGTGTCCTGTGAGCAGTCCCACCACCAATTTGATGTCTGGTCTGCTCATGTTTAGGAGCTGTTCAGCTCTTTTTGCTGAAAGGGTAATAAACCTTTTTGACTGTCTGAGTCCCGGTGTGTGCCTCCAATATGATGACAGTTGGTCTTTCTCCCATTTGTTGAGTTCTTCCATGATGTGACTTTTCATTAAGCCACAGTAGGGCTCTGGTCCGTGGTATGGTAATGAGGCCCCTTCCTTTGCGAGACCATCTGCTTCTTCGTTTCCTTCTATGCCTCGATGACCTGGCAGCCACATCAGCGTTACCTGATTATGTGTCGCTAGTGTTTTTAGGGTCTGTTTGCACTCCCAGACTAGTTTTGACGTGCATTTGAAAGCCCTTAAGGCTTTTAAGGCAGCTTGGCTGTCCGATAGTATGAAGATGTGTTTTCTCTTGAGGCTTTGGTTAAGACACTCTTGTGCACATATATCTATGGCAAGCAGTTCGGCTTGAAATATTGTAAGATGTTTACCCAATGCCTTGGAGAGCTTGAAGTTAGGGCCGGAAATGCCCAGTCCAGCTCCTTCCATCAGCTTGGATCCATCTGTGTACCACAGAGATGCATTGTCTGCTTGTGGTAGTTCTTTATTCTCCCATGATTGGCGGTCGTTTATTACCACTGCGAAGGGGATTTCCAAGTCCAATCTGACCATCATGTGGTCACTTGGTTTGCTGGCATTCTCCAGTTTTATTAGATCAAGGATTCTCAGATGTGAGCGCTGGTTATTGCCTCCTTTTTCACACATAGGTGAAGTGGGGGCATGTTGAGTAGCGTCTCTAGGGCTGCGGTGGGGCAAGTTGACATTGCTCCCGTTATTCCTAGATATATCAGCCTTTGCACCTTTCTTAGCTTAATCTGAGCGGTGACTTGTTGGGTTTTGGGCCACCACACCAATGAGGCGTATGTGACCATTGGCTTTATTATGGTTTGGTAGATCCAGAATACCATGTTTTGCCAACACGTCTTCGGCATGACCAAATGGCTGATGTAGCTCGAAAGCATGTTTTCTCTAACTGTTTGTTCCAAGTGAGGGTTCGGTCCAGGGTGACCCCTAAGTACTTCACTTCGTTGAAAAATGTTAGTTGTGTACCGTTAAGGGTCGGGGCTTTCAAATTTAGCTTCCTTCTTCTTGTGAACGGGACAAGGATTGTTTTGTTTGCGTTTAGGGATAGTCCTTCACCTTCGCTCCAATTTTTAACGGTGTTTAGGGCACTTTGCATTCGGCTTGTCACTATACCTTCATGTTTGCCCTTGATTACAATGGCTAGGTCATCTGCGTAACCTATGCCCTGGTATCCAGCACTACTCAGTCTGCTAAGAATTTTGTCTACCACCAGTGTCCATAGTAGCGGAGCAAGGACACCCCCTTGAGGACACCCTCTGATCGTGGTAGCGGTAGCTGATGCTCCGTTTATTTCAGCCGTAACGTGACGGTGTTTCAGCATCGACTCTATCCATTTTACAATTGGAACTTCAACATCCCATTCTTGTAATGCTCTGGCGATTGATTGATGTGAGGTGTTGTCAAAGGCACCCTCTATGTCGATGAAAGCTGTGAAAGCGATCTCTTTGCACTCGATTGTCTTTTCGATGTCTTTAACCAGGCAGTGTAAAGCACTTATTGTGGATTTGCCTGGCTGATAGGCAAATTGCTTCGAGTAGAGCGGTCTTCTCAATAGAGTTTCGTTTCTGATGTACTGGTCGATTGCTTTCTCCGTTGTCTTAAGGAGAAAGGAGGTTAGACTAATGGGACGATATGATTTTGGTTCGTCCTCGGGTCGGCGACCCGTTTTTGGTATGAATATCACATTAGCCAAGATAGCGGTATGTGCCCTAGGAGCAGGCTTGCCTTAAAGAGTTTTTGTAGGTGTACCTTTAAGTACTCGTAGCCTTTTTGCAGTTGTGCGGGAAAAATCCCGTCTTTGCCTGGAGATTTGTAGGGTTTGAAGCTATCGATCGCCCACTTTATTCTGTTCATTGTGAAGATTTTCCCAGCCAGCCTTTTGCTCCTGCCGTGGTCCTTCGATAGGCGGAGTGACCTGGTTCAGGGCTTCAACGATTACCGAACCTGGAAAGTGAGTTTGTAGTAGTACCTCTAGACTTTCTATATGGTCGGTACAGTGTTCTCCGTTTGGCTTTTTAAGCAGACCAATTCCGTTTGAGTGGTTTTTTGAAAGAACTTTTTGGAGACGTTGAGCTGGGGCTAATTCGTCAATCCCCTCGCAGAATTGTCTCCATGATTTCCTTTTTGATTTTCTTAATTCACGGTTGTACTTGTCTAGGGCTGTTCTATAGTCTGCCCAGTTGCCGTTACTTTTTGCCTTGTTGAACAGTTTTCTGGCATCTTGTTTCAGACGTCTCAGCTGCCCGTTCCACCAAGGCACATCCCTGTGGACTGCCTTCTGTTTTACGGGACAACTGTTCTCATAGGAATCTTTTATCGCATTTGTTAGATTGTCAGATGATGCCTCTAGCTCTTCTATTGTATTTATGTCAGAAGGGAGTTCATCTAGACTCAGGCAGAGACCCTCCACAAAGGATACCCAGTTGGTGAGT